CTTGAACCCAGCTCGTCGAGGCTACGGTGGCTGTGAGCAGGCCACTGCACTCCAGCCTGGGTGACAGAGAGATTCCAACTAAAAAAAAAAAAAAAAAAAAGTTGGTCTATATTTCCTCTCCCTTTTTTAAGAAAACTAGTTGCCTTTTACTTACTTATGGGTAATTTGTGATCAAAGTTAGTTGATTGTTTGCTCAGTTTCCAGTTTTTCTTTCTCTGTTAGCTGGTAAGACCCCTTAACCCAGTAGCCCTCAAATCTGACTACACATTGATATCTCTCAAGTCTCTTAAAAACAAATCCAGATTGCACCCCCAGAAATTCTGAATTATTTCATCTGGACTGAAGCCCAGTAATCCAGATGTGCATCCTGGGTGGAGAATCAGTACAGCCTGTAGTGGCCAGAGGGTGGTTCCAGAGTGGTCTTCAAGGGCCCACATTGCTCATGTTCCTGCCATCCGTGCATGGATAACTGCTTTTCAAAATTACTGTGACAGAGTCACAGTCTTTGCTAATATATTTGCACAGGGTGCCATCTTTAAGTATGCAGTGTTTCTTTTCCTGATTTCCACGGAGATCTTCTCTCCCTCCTCCCCATGTGCTCCGCAGACACTGACTATGGCTATGTTTGCCTCCCTGTCTGGCCACAATCCGTGTCTGCATGGGCTTGGCAAGCTCCGGCCATTTTAGGGGATTATAAACACCTTTAGGCAAGAGTGGTGTTCTGAAACAGATTTCTCATTAGTGTAATGTCATCACTTGAAAAATAACTTCAGATACCTCCCTTCTCCTAGTGATAGGAGCTTTTAATAGTGATAATAGTAGTTCATATATCCTGAGCATTTGGCATGTTCTGGGTACTGTGAAAAGAGCTTTCTGTTTATCTCATAATTTTCTGAACAGGTCCCAGTAAGTATGGTTGAGCAGAAGCTTAAAGAGATGAAGTAATTTACACAAAATCCCACTCACCCTACTAGTTAGGTAGTGAAGCCAGGATTCAAACTCTGGTGTTTCTTTTGATTTTTGAACCTTGAGACTATTACCTATTGATAAATGCAGTTGTAAAGATACCAAAAGGATAAACAGTGGTATCCTCCTTCTGCTCCTAGCCAGTGTTGTGTATCTCTCCAGAAATATTCTTTAGCAGATGCATATACACTGTAAAAAATTTTCTTTTCCTCCCTCCCTCACAACTGCTATTTATTTATTTATTTATTTTATTATTATTATTATTGGTTGTTTTTTTCTTTTTTTTTGAGTTGGAGTCTCACTCTTGCCCATACTGGAGTGCAGTGGCTGCTCCCGACCACTGCAGCCTCGACCTGCTGGGCTCTGGCGATCCTTCGGCCTCAGCCTTCCAAGCAGCTGGAATTACAGGTGCACGCTACCATGCCCGGCTAATTTTTTGATTTATTGTAGAGATGAGGTCTCACCAAGTTGCCCAGGCGGGTCTCGAACTTGCGGGCTCAGGTGGATCTCGAACCTGCGGGCTCAGGCAGTCCACTCACCTCGGCCTCCCAGAGTGCGGGATTACAGGCTGAGCCACCGAGCCCGGCTTCACAACTGCTATTTATTATAGACATGATTCTGCATCTAACTAAGAGGTTTTTTCTTATCAGTGTATTTACAGATGTCTCTTTTTTTAAACAGATGAATAGTGTTTTATTATATCCTCTGTTGGTAGACACTGATGCTTCACTTGATATTACAAACAATGCTGCAGTCAGTAAGCTAGCACTTATTATCATTTTGCATATGCTTTAGTACAGGGTTTATCAATCTCAGCACTGTTGACATTTGGGGCCGGCTGATTCTTTGCTTCCTCAGGAAGGAAGCTCAGAACTGGTTGGTTCTTATGTTTTCTCTGGACCATTTGGGCTCTGAGGGAACTTTGGCCCAGATGATTCTGGGTGGATTTGGCTGGAACACAGCTGTGGAAGTGGAGAGAATGAATGGTTTCCTTGCCTTGCACGCTTAAAGAGTCATGGTTATATTTACTTGAGGCAAAGTGATACCCTTTCCTAAATGAGCCATTATCTAGAAATTGTAGTTTAGTTCTGTCTGATGTGAGCAATTTTCTGATAATTTCCAGGCATCAAAATCTGTGTTAATGGGGCTTTAAGATACCAGTTACCTCTGGCTTTAATGATTTTTCTGCTAATCCAGCAAGATGTTTGGAAACTTATTTGATAACCACAGTTAACCAACAGTTGCTGTTTCCTCTACTTCTAAGAATTCATATGAGTTTTCCTTAATGTTGGCCAAATAACTTGTTAAATTAGTTTAGTATTCTCTGTTTTGGAGGCTGCACTTATAAACAGGAACTCAAGGGGCGGGGCAGGACAGCAGGGGAGAGTTCACTACCTCTAAGCAGAGGAAAAATCAGCTGGTTCATGGTTGGCAAACTTTCTGTAAAGGGTCACATAGTGCATATTTTAGGCTTTTTAGGTCATAGTCTCAGTCACATATTCTCTTTAAAGATGTAAACACCATTCCTAGCTTGTGAGCCTTCGAAACACAAGCCATTGCAATTTGGCCTGTGAGCTTTGGTTGGCCAACCCCTGAACTAGATGAAGAAATTGGTTTATTTCTACATGTGTTTAATGTTTTGGGGATGTGAACCTAGAATAACCTTGGGAATTCTCAGTTGATTGTGATCCACAAAAGAGTGATTTAAACTGGCTTGGGTGACCCTAGTGTCCGTGGATCTCAGGGTAACCCTGGCCAGTGGGGCAGAGGGCTTGTACTGCCTCTTTGCTATGTGAATGTTGGCCAAGGGGAGCAAGGAGACAGGATGGAAGAGGGGCAGATACGCTGCCTAAAACAAGCCTACGGAATACAGTATCTCAGATCCTGAACCACTTCTGGAACACAGCAAGCTGGCATGTGTGGCAGTTTGGCCAGTTTGTAAAAATGAAGGAGTAGGTCTGTACCTTAGATTCTGAGAAGAACACCAAATTCTGATACATGAATCTATATCATTGTGGTTTTTCTCTAATCACCAGAAGTCCTATAGAGCAGACCTGCTCCTTCATTTTTATAAACTGGGCAAACTGTCACACATGCCAGCTTGCTATGTTCTAGAAGAAACATAGCAAGAAAACTTTGAAGAAAGTTTTGGTTTATTGGGAGCTAGGAAGAAGTAATGACTACAGATCAGGGACTCGGAGGCAGATGCACCTGTCCTGGTTCCCACACTCTGTGACGCTCGGTAACTAACTTCATCTTCTCATCCTCAATGTCCTCACTTGTCAATGGCAATGGTAATAATAACTCCACCTTAGAGTTGTGAGACTTGAGAATAGTGTATGTAAAATCTCATTAGCTCAACACCTGTCATGTTATAAGCAGTCAGTAAATGTTAGCAATAACAATGACAATAAAGTGGAAGAAAATGGAAGTGGGAAATCAGGAGTAGGAACTGGCATTTGTGACTCATTGCCGTTGGAGAGCATGTTCTTGTTAAGCACTTAGTCACCAGATATGTCTGAAGGTACAGTAACTGTCCAGAGGAACTGGGTCTGTCTCCCTGTCTCAGGTTCCTGATTTCTAGAATGGAAATCATGCATGTTAGCAGGTTGCAGGATAACCAAATGAGGCAATGTGTAGAGGGCCTTGAGTTCTTGAAAGCATTAGACAGAATTTAAGATGAAGTCAGTACCTGTTTATTTGTTCAGTGTCTTGAACTTCTAGAGGAATTGAAATAGCCAGAAGGTGATTGGTGTGAAGCCAGAATGTTTTGCCAGAGAGATTTGACAGGATGTTCCCAAGTTCAAGGTTTGCATGGGTGACTTATGATTCGGAATGAGTGGTATAAAATTGGAATACTCTTGTGAGATATTTGAAACAGTGAAATTTAGAAACAAGTGCCCAGTGGGGAGGGAGGCTGAAGAGGTTGAGTCTTTATATAGAAAATGTGAAAAGATCTTACAAAATTAAAAATGTATATTTTCTTTCCCCTGCAATTCCATTTCTAGGAATTTATCCTGAAAATATATTGCCATGTTGATACTAAGTTATGTGTGCACCTGGTTATTCATTACAATATTATATATAATAGAAAAATTGAACTGTCAGTGTCTAGTTTTAGGAGACTGAATAAAATCTGGGCACATTCTTCCAGTTGAAAACTATGTACCTGCACAGAATAAGGGAACGTTATTTATACACTGATGAAACACTCTTAAAAGATACAAGAAGGAACCTCTAAAAACTGAAAATTATTTATAAAAAATTGTGTATGTTTAAACTTCAGTCACCTTCAAAATACTGTCTGTTTGATTCAGTATGCCTCCCAAGATGCTTTTTCCACTGCTCAAAACAATTTTTGCACTCATCAGTTTTGATGCCATTGAGTACTTCTGGCATTTTTGTTTCATCTCTTCCACATCGGCAAAATGTTTGTTTCCCTTTGAGGACTTATTTCATCAGGGGAAACAGAAAAAAGTCGCTCAGGGAGAGTGAGGTACAGGAGTCATGCCGTTTTTGGTCAAAAATTGCTGAACACTCACTGCAGTGTGGCCAGGTGTGCTTGTAAATCAGTCATCATGAAATGGGCAAATGCGTTGACAGAAACTTCACAAAAAATTCACTGAAGCCGAGTGTAGCTGTTCACAACAGTGCTAGCTGGTACACTGATGCCGATGGGTTCCTAGAACACTTACCTAGCAGGGGAAACCTGTACTACGTGGGGCCCACCCTCCAAATGATAATTCTGGAGTGACCAGAATTTTTTTGGAGTCCCCCTTGCATATTTTCTATTCAGAAAGTTTGAGTGACCACAGATCATATCATTGGGGTTGAAAATTGTATGAAACATCTGTGTGTTTTACTCTCACATCTGTGTCTGTCACCTGTTGCTGTGGCTGGTCCTTTTAACCTTGATGACTTGAGAAGCTGGCGCTGACTACTGGCTCACCCTAGAACAACTTCCCTGCCCCCAGCATATTGACATTTCTCTTCTGGATTTATGTGCCTGACGGTGTTTCTGTTTCCACCCCCAGCTTTGGCAGCATGTAAGCGACTGTTTGCCAAGAACCCAGGTCACCGCTGTGAAAGGGGGCCTTAGGGAGAAGAATATCCAGAGGAGACCAATGCCAGATGCGTCTGAAATTACACTCACCGCTTGCAGCATGAGACATTTTGTGCCAGCATTTCTCTTCTACTGGCAAAGACTGAAGCTCTCCAGGTAGGAGGGTCCTGGGAGCCACAAGTGCCAGGAACCTTGCTGGAGGAGAATGAGGCCGGATATGGACTCTCTAAAGTGAACTCAATTTCCAGCTTATGAAGGAATTTTAAGTAAAGCAGTTATTTAATTTGCTCATATTGAAGTTCCAAAACCTTCTGTGTGAAGTGCCAGCAGTCACTCTTCTCCTCCGGGCGTTATCAGGATTTTCCTGGCACCAAATAGAACTCTTCTTGGTACTTTTGGCAGTAAGGCAGTGACAGATCTGCAGGACAGATTATCTACTAAATGCTCTTGGGCAAGACACAAAGGCAAAACCTGTGGAAGCAGCATCAGGACAGCAGAGCAAAGACCCCTTCCTCGCTTCTCACTTGCGCAGAAACTCAGCCTGGACTTGGATGCTTTTACCGAAGTTCTGTCCTGCCTTGTTCACCTCCAAAGTCCATTTGCTTTGGGGAGACCTGGCATTTTCTGCTGCCTCCTGTGGCTCCTCTCTCCTGTCATTCTCCCCAACCTTCTGCTCAGGCAGTTGAAGGATGTAAACTGTGGCATGGGGTGTACTGTTCTCCGGGGACTTGCTTCCTTTCCCAGGCTGGTGCAGTTGGAAAGGACCATCTGAAGCCTGCAGTTTATTCTGGGGAGGAGGGTGCCGGCTTGGCCTGGATCCTCCACCATGTTCCTGTTGCTGCCTTTTGACAGCCTGATTGTTAACCTTCTGGGCATCTCCCTGACTGTCCTCTTCACCCTCCTTCTCGTTTTCATCATAGTCCCAGCCATTTTTGGAGTCTCCTTTGGCATCCGAAAGCTCTACATGAAAACTTTGTTAAAAATTTTTGCGGTGAGTTGTGCTGTTACAAAAGGTTGCTCTGCCAAGGAGGGAAGAAATGTTTTTAGCAAAAAGAGTTATTCTTATCGGGCTGATTGTTATCTATATTGAATAGACAGAAAGTTGGGAGAAGAGAAAGTGGCATTTTGAGTAAAAAGAGTAAGTAAATGTGTACTTTTGAAAGCCTTTATGGTCTTTCTTATTGATCTAAGGTACTTGTATGATTGATTCATGCTCAGCATAGGATCTGTTCCATGACTCCACATCTTGCCTGTTTATTTAAAAAAGAGAGGACCTTAGAGTTACACAATCATTGCCAGTCTCTACCTCTTCTCACATAACAGATGCTGAAGCTCAAAGCTGCTGCCGACATACTCCCTCACTGATAAGCATGGGAGAGCCTTTTCTCTCTTTCAAGCATTTATCCTAAGTAGATTCTTGCATTTCAGACAAACAGAATGAAGAGAAAAACGTATTTGAATTGTGTTGTTTTCTTAGAGATGGAAGAGAAAGGTAATGCATTTCTGAACATATGTCAGAAGTTACCTGGCCATTGAGTTATACTGTTGAACAGAACTGGTCACATTTTAAAGGAAATGGGGGAAAGTGATGTTTCCTGGAAGTTTGGGGGAAAGTGATGTTTCCTGGAAGTTGATCCCTACCACAGGGCTTTAAATGTCCCTCCAAAGGTTTGGTAATTTAATTACAGTGTCTGTTTTGGTAGCCACCAAATCTTTAGGAATTCACGTATAATTTGAGAGGTGCGCTTAGTAAAATATTTAATACAGCATTATTTGTTCATATAGTATCTTGTGGTTTTCAGAGTAATTTTCATTTTTCTTTGGTTCTTTATAATTCTGTGGTAGACAGGATAAGTATTTGCATTTTATCCATGAAGAAAGAGACTCAGAAAGATTAAGAGAGCTATATTAGATGTTACAGTGACAAATATTTTTATGTATGTCATTGAATCTTGGGTTTTATCTTTTTTGTTCTTTAGTATTCCTATAAGAATATGATTTTTTTCACTTAAAAAATTGTGGCATTGACAACATAAACTAATCATTTTAAAGTGAATAATTCAGTGGATTTACAATATTCACAGTGTTGTACAACCACAACCTCTCTCCAGTTCCACATTTTTTATCACTCCAAAAGGAAACCCAATACTCATTAAGCATTTGCTGCTCATTTTTCTCTCCCCCAGCCCCTGGCAACTGCCAGTCTGCATTCTGTCTCTGGTTTTACCTGTTCTGGATATTTTGTGTTAATGCAATCATATATTGTGTATCCTTTTGTGTCTGGCTTCTTTCACTTAGCATAACATTTTCAAGCTTCATCTACGTCATAGCATGTATCAGTACCTTTGTGTGTGTGGGAGGCTGGATTAGATTTCACTGTGTGTAATCCAAGTACATACCATGATTTACTTATCCATTCATCCATTGATGGACATTGATGGGCTGTTTCCACCTTCTCTGGCTGTTGTGAATAGTGCTGCAGTGGACCTGTCTTGTACATATATTTGTTTTAGTACGTATTTTCAAGAATATGATTGTTGAGCACTACTTTAGGATAGTAAGGTTATCTGTATTCTTGCTTCTAAGAGAGCAGTCTGGAGAGTGGCAGCATGAGTGCCACCTAACCCCCATAAGCTGGTTAGAAATCGAGATCATATGCCTACTCCAGACCTATGAATTAGGCTCTGCATTTTAACAAAGATACAGGTGATTCAGCTATACACTAAAATTTGAGAAGTGGTGATCTAGTCGGCTTTTAGCTTGCTATTTTACTAATATATCATTCATTTAAATTAATCAGGAAATGTAATTTTCACATATTTCAGTCCAAGAAAATCTTGAGCAGCACACAGGATCCCTGTGGACAATGCAACTTATGCCTAGGCAACAGAGTGAGGCTCCAACTCAAAAAAAAAAGAAAAGAAACTAGATTTGCACCTCTTCTTTCCTAGAGGTGTGTGCCAGGGCTGAAAGGGTTGTGAGTGCCTGTCCTGTTAGGCTTTATGGATAATTACAGTCTGTCTGTAAGCTGGAGTTAAGGGGTGGGCCAGAGAGGAAGGGCCTATTCCAGCAAGGGCCTAGGGAGTTTTGGAGGGGTATTTTCTTTTGGTATTATGCTCTCTGCATATAAGGACCTTCAGTGATTCAGCAATTACAGGACCTGTACTGAGTTAGGTCTTCCAGGAAAGAGAATAGAAAAGGCACTGATTTGCCGGTATCCTCTCCATATTCCTCCCCTTGGCAGACATACAAATATTTTCTCCAGTTTCCTTTATACAGGAAACTAATCACGGGAAACTAGCCATTAAGTCACACCTTACTTTGCCAAAAATATATGGACTTCATGATATCCAGTTTTAATCATCTTTAGTAAAATATGAAAATGGCTGACATAATACCAAAAGAAAATGTACACACAATATTAAATGTATACATTATTAACATAACCACAAAACATGAATGTGTATTGCCAAAGACTAAAAGGAAATAAGCAAAAAAAAAAAATTAAAAAATTCAAAGGTGCTATAAATTGTGGTACACAGGTAAATGATTACAATTCTCTAATATCTGTCTGGTTAACAACTGCCATGTAACAAACTAGCCCAAAATTTAGTGGCTTAAACACCACCACCATTTATTTCACTCCCAAAAATGAAGGTTGCACAGATGTGGCAACAGTGTAGGGCTGGAAGGTTCATTCACTCCTGTGGGGGGCACGTGATGGTGGTGGTCAAGGCCTTATTGGGCTGTGAGCTGGATCACCTGCACATGGCCTCCTCACCACACACAGTGGCTGAATTCCAGGAGCAAGCAGCCCAAGAGAGCAAGCCAGACAGAAGTGACACTGCCTTTTCTAGCCTAATCTCACACATGACAAAGCATCATGCCCACCACATCCTCTGTGTTCTTAAGAATCACTAAGGCAGTTCCCCACTCAAGAAAAGAGGGTTAGACTCCACCTTCTGATAGTGTACATCAGAATCTACTGGGAAATATTTAAAACGTGCCCACCCAGACTGTCTATATCAAATTCTGGTGCCCCCAAAAATAGTATTTTAAATACTTTAAAAATATTATTTAGTACTTAAGTACTAAATAGCATCTTAAAAACATTTCTCTGGGTGACTAGGCTATATAGTCAAAAGGGAGAATCATAAAATTAAGATGATCTTTGAGCTTTCTTTCAGCCCTAAAATTATGTATTATCATCCCAATCAAAGGAGTAAAGAGGCTAAAAAGAGAAAAACAAAGGTCTTTCCTTGCTTTAGGAGAGATCCCCAAAATTTATATGCTAAAACCTAACCTCCAAGGTGATAGTCTTTGGAGATAAGGCCTTTGGGGGGGTAATAGGGTCATGGAGGTGTATCCCTCATGAACAGGACAAGTGCTCTTATAAAAGGGACAGCAAAGAGCTCCCTCATCCCTCTGCCACCTAAGAGAGAAGATGGGTATCTATGAACCAGGAAGCAGGCCCTTACACACTGAATCTGCCAGCACCTTGCATCTTGTACTTCTCAGTTTCCAAAACTGTGAGAAATAAATGGTTTTTATAAGCCCCAAAGTCCATGGTAGTTTGTTATAGCAGCAAAGAGTAAGACACTCGTCTATTAAAAAAAATACACAAAAACACCCACAAGTATGGGCAGATATATACATAGACACACACTTTCCAAAGTCTGAAGTCAGTTTGGTCAAAACCAGCTTGTACTTAATCTGACCACTGTAAAGGCAGCATTCAGTTCTTACTGTCCATGCAGATATACTCAGAGCAGTAACAGGAAGCGAAAAGCCAAATACCCCTCCAAAACTCCCTAGGCCCTTGCTGGAATAGGCCCTTCCTCTCTGGCCCACTCCTTAACTCCAGCTTACAGACAGACTGTAATTATCCATAAAGCCTAACAGGACAGGAACTCACAACCCTTTCAGCCCTGGCACACACCTCTAGGAAAGAACAAATCCTGTAAGATTTGTTCAGTTCAGTCTGTTTCCTTAATGTTTGTGTTTCATTTGAACCCTGTACACAGTGGTGATGGTATTAGGAGTGAGATTCCTACAAGTGGACTCTCAACTGAATTGAGAATGACTTGGAAAAAGGGGAGAGAAGAAAGCCTGGATAGAAAGGAGAAAGTTGAAAATGAGTGATGTGCAAGGAATTGATCAGGTCATGTTGGAGAGGATAGGACAGCTGTAATCTGACCAGTATTAAACTCCAAAGCAGAATTTATTGGTGGAGAGTCAAAGAAACCTGGGGCAGGTAGGAGAGTCTAGTGGTGGCAAGATGGTCATTTGTTTTGGGGTCAGGCATTCCTTGAATACCAGGGATCTCCTTATCAGCTCTGAAACTTGTCCCAAGTCGTTGAACTTTTCAGTCTGTTTGTTCATCTGGAGAGTGGGAGTAGTAGCACTTATTTAATTTGTTGTAGTGAAAGAGGTAATGTTAATCATGCATGTCTCCCCTACTCTGGAAGGAAGTATGATTTTAACATAACCTTGAGTAGGCTAAAGGACAAACTGAAGGAGATGGGAATGTTGGCGGGGGAAGGTGATAGGAAGTAGTTTCAGATTTTATCATTTCAGGTCAATTTTTCATAAGGAGATGTTGATGAATAGAAATGTTGGGAACTGATGAATTAAAGGCAGCCCTTATTGACTGCCTACTAAGTGTACTCTCTCAGGCTATGCTGGAATGCACATTTGGGTAAGTTCTGACTCCTGCCTCTTATGGTACTTGTAGTCTAGTAGGAAAGACAAATGTATGCATATGTAACTAATTCACAGTGGGGTGTCAGTTGAAATACACATTAATCTGGTTGCAGGTAGGTAACTTTTCATGTAAGATTTGACATTAGAACTGGATCCTAAAAGGGAAAAAGATAGAGCATTCTAGAAGTGCAGTGGCTAAAGATGAAGAAATAGAGCCTTGTTTTGAGACAGTACATAGTTCTGTAGAGTAAAAACATTGGGTTCATGTAGGGAATGAGGTAG